GGTTTCACCATATTGGCCAGGCTGGTCTTGAACTCCTGACCTCGTGATCCACCTACCTTGGTCTCCCAAAGTACTGGGATTACAGGCGTGAGCCACTGCGCCTGGCCCAGCACACTTTTAAACATTTCCAAATTGGACAAAAAAAGATGTATAAGATCACAAAAGATGGCCCATCATTTTGTACCTAAAGTATTCTAAGCAGAAGACAGGCAATAGTAATCAAATAGACAAAGCCCAATTTGGCATGAAAGTTAATTTTTTGTTTTCGGAATTAGTTTGTTAGAAAAAAAAAAAAAGCCCAAACACTTGTGAGAGATCTGGAAACTTGAAGAGAGAAGGAATTACTGAGGGAGAAAGATGAGGAGGGATTTTCAGACAGAAGTCCTCGAGGTCTGACGAATGATGTAATGTCAAATGACAGACACTGACAAGAGTAGAGCCTGGCTCTACTCTGTTCTTACGTTTTTCTCCACAGAAACATCAGGCTTTTTTCCACAGAAACATCACTCCCAAGTGATGTAAGGAAATGATAAAAATTCAGTAAAGCTAAATACAACATTTGTGGACCAAACTGAAATCTCTCGCCAAATTGCAAACTCTGAGAATCTCAAACATAGCTGTACCTTTGGAGTGTCCACACACTCTTCTTCCATGAATGCTGCTTCCGCCTGACAGCCTGATGCTGGAAATGAAAAGGCCTCCACGTTGGATGCCTGGGGGAGGAGGGTAGATCGCAGCAGCCTCATGTTGGGTGAATGCACGGTCACTGGGAGCCCCACAGTCTGTGCCTGTAAATATGGCAAGAACAGACAGTTTGGAAACATGAATACCTTCTCTATAAATACACAAAGTTCTAAGAATAAAGTAATTCTTCCTGTGGCAATTAAAGAATGAATATTTATTTATTGGAAACTCCAGAAAGATTTGGTGAAATATGTATACGGTGTAGGTAGTGAAGCAGACTCAGCAATCAGTTACTCTGAAAGAGGTTGTACAGAATTTCATTTCTGCCTCGTGAGGGGATGCTTAACTGTCATGCAGGTGACAAGAAAGCTAGCTTTTATGAGGAATCAAGAATCTTCCTAATTTCAATTCAACCAACCTATTTGTCTCTTTCTTTAAATATAATACCCAGACAGATAAAAGTCCTAGGAGCTCAAAATTGAACCAGGGACAGATATACACACCCCCCCCAAGTAACTACAATACAAGGGACGCTGAAGTCAGTGCTGTCTCTGCCCGCCCCACCCGCCTTTTTGGTGTAGGTGGGATGAGATACATTTATTGGCAAGGGTGTATGCAAAGAGGAAGAAAGGGAAGCAGCAGTCACGTGGAGTGATAGGAACATCTTCCTTCCTTCAAGGAGATGCACAGCCTGGACTCAGCCTGTTGGCCCAGTGGAAGAAGAGACGCTGACTGCAAGCTATGTTTTTGAAGGCAACCTACTATAGAAAGCTCCTGATGGCTTGAAGTCTGTTCTCATGTCTCCTTTGTTAACTACTCTAGGGAAACAAGCATTACAAATGCTTCTTTTAAAAAATCATTTAAAAGAGAATCTTTCCTTATGACAATTGGCAAAGATTGATTTTAAAGCTGCCGAATGATCCTTTCATCACCATCCTTCAGAACTATCGGAATAATTTATTAGATGTGTTTTGAACATAACAGACACTACGCAACATCTGAGAAAACAATCATCATATGAGACTGTAAAAGGCAGAAGGACGGCTATATTTTACCAGCTATAGTTATTTCAAGGGATATAAGATGGTGAATTTTAAATTCAAACAAATCAAAGGGACAAAATGGTATGAGATTCTAGCTTCTCCTCTCCCAAGACCTGAGTTTGATTCCTGGCTCCATCACTTACAAATTGTGTGATCTTAATCAGGTTTCCTAACTTTTCTGAAACTTATCTTCTTCAATTATGAAAGAGCACAATGCCAACTTCACAGTGAAGTCAGGATTGTAAAAGGTAATGTGATGTGCTTAAGTCAGTAACATTAATTCTTTCTTTCCTCTTCTTCCTAAAGCCTCCAATTGACCACAAGAATGTAAGAATTAGACTGCAAATGAATGCAGTCTCGTTCAAAGATACTAACGGTTTCCAGTTAGAATCTCAGGTTGATGGTTTTCAAGGATGGGGGGATATGTTAGAAATATACTTTATATTTGAATATACTCTGAGTATATTTCCAACATACTTTATATTTGGTATATTCCAATATTAATATCATTGGCTATACTGTATAAGATAAAGTCACATTAGCAAAGTGTCAGTATGGTATGGATGCCCCCAAACAAACAAACACATCAACACACACACACACAAACAAAAAATTGCATGCCATTCAGAGTGTGAGAAACAAACAGCTTTCCTTGTATTGTCATTCCTCCAGCTTATATTGTGTGCCACTTCTGAGGTTAAACAACTTTTTCCTTTCAAACATCAGGAATTTAAATCAATTTATCTAGCTACTATGTAAAATTTTTATCTAGTCACTACGTAAAATTTAAACTTCCCACTAAAGTACATTTGCTACATTATTCTTACCCCCATCATTAGCTTTTCAATCAAAGGATGAAACTGAAGATTGATTTCTACTTCCCAACTTTATTACACTGCTCCTTCTCTATGAAGGCAGTCTAAATTATTAGGGCAAAGCATGACCGAGGATGTTGTATGGAAATGAGATGCCCATGTGCTAACTATGACACGATGCTCCTTCTCAGTCCCTGACTCTCACTAGCTCGGACACTTTAAATGGCTGGACGCTGCTGTGCCAGACCAAGTGTAGCACATTGTCCTGGATAGCGTTCATATCCTACCTGGACTGCTACAACTGACTGTGAACCTGGGTAGAAGAATAACGGACAGGATAAAGGAAAAATGCTTTTTGTTGTGGCAATCACTTCCTAGGAAATACGGTGGGTTTTAGGAATCTTGCAATCACTGAGGGGACTAAGGAAGTCTTTTTGGAATAAGACAGGGTATAAATATACAAATGGCATGCTCAGCATTACACAGCTGATTAGCATATATTAAATAAACAGATGGTCAATTAATATCCCAAGAAAGCAGATATTATCAAGATATTCTTTTTATTTTTATTATTATTTCTTACACAGAGTCTTGCTCTGTTGCCCAGGCTGAAGTGCAATGGCATGATCTCGGCTCACTGCAACCTCTGCCTGCTAGGTTCAAGCAATTTTCCTCCTCAGCCTCCCGAGTAACTGGGACTACAGGTGCGCTCCACCACACCCTGCTAATTTTTGTTATTTTTAGTAGAGATGGGGTTTCACCATGCAGGCCAGGCTGGTCTCGAACTCCTGATCTGATGATCCGCCCACCTTGGCCTCCCAAAGTGCTGGGATTACAGGTGTGAACCACTGCGCCCGGCCCAGACATTCTTTAAGAGTGTCAGTATGCAATGGTTATGTCCAACCAATTGAGATAACTGTTTAGAACACATGTTTATTGCTCTGAATCTCTTCTTTGGACTTTGTGCTTTCTAGAACCATTAAAATGACAATAATGTTCTTTCCTATGGGAAAATGGTTACTATCCCAATAGGTAAATACTTGTTATGACCTGAATTGTGTCCTGCCAAAATTCACAAGTTGAGCCCCTCACCACTAATGTGGCTATATCTGGAGACAGGGCCTTGAAGAAGTTAATTAAGGTTAAATGAGGTCCTATGGGTGGGGCCCTGCTCGCATACAGTGGGTGTCCTCATAAGAGGAGGAAGAGACATCAGAGATCCTTCTCTCCACACTTGGGCAGAGAAAAAAAGCCATGTGAGGACACAGTGAAAAGACAGCCAGCTACAAGCCAAGAAGAGAGGGCTCACCAGGTAGCAACCCTCATGGCACCCTCATCCTGATTTCCAGCCTCCAGAACTGTGAGAAAATAATTTCCGTTGTTTAAGCCACTAGGTCTGTGGTATTTTGTTGTGGCAACCCTAGCAAACAAGTCCAATGCTTTCCTATAGCTGTGAAGGGCAAACTCTAAACAGTAATTTAAGAATTGGAGGTAATTATTTCATTCTTGTATGTTTACAGATGATGGAAACTTACAGTGGAAGAACTGTTAAAAACTAGTGGTTAGAGGCCGGGCGCGGTGGCTCAAGCCTGTAATCCCAGCACTTTGGGAGGCTGAGGCGGGTGGATCACAAGGTCAAGAGATCGAGACCATCCTGGTCAACATGGTGAAACCCCGTCTCTACCAAAAATACAAAACATTAGCTGGGCATGGTGGTGCGTGCCTATAATCCCAGCTACTCAGGAGGCTGAGGCAGGAGAATTGCCTGAACCCAGGAGACGGAGGTTGCGGTGAGCCGAGATCGCGCCATTGCACTCCAGCCTGGGTAACATGAGTGAAACTCCGTCTCAAAAAAAAAAAACAAAACAAAACAAAAAAAAACTAGTGGTTAGGCCAGGTGTGGTGCTCACTAAATTGTGTGACCTTCATCAGATCCTGTAATCCCAACACTTTGGGAGGCCAGGGTAGGAGGATCACTTGAGCCCAGGAGTTCGAGACCAGCTTAGGCAACATAGCAAGACCTTATCTCTACAAAAAATTTAAAAAAATAAGCTGGGCATGGTGGTATGCACTTGTGGTCCCAGCTACTTGGGAAGCTAAGGCGGGAGAACTGCCTGAGCCCAGGAGGTTGAGGCTAGAGTGTGCTGTGATTGCCACCGTGCTCCAGCCTTGGTGACACAGTGAGACCCCATCTCAAAAACAAAACAAAACCTCCCCCCAAACCCCACCAAAACTAGTGTTTAGAATTTATGAGAAAAAGATATGACATATTTTTTCTAAATAGTCTGAACTCAATGAGATCTAATACTTCCTGCATGTTATACAGCAAACATAAGCACTCCAGATCTAAAATGGGAATCCCACTGTTGTCTAAATAATAACAATGGGCACTGAATTTTTTTTATTTTTTATTTTTTACTTTTTAGGACAGAACCTTGCTGTGTCACCCAGACTGGAGTGCAGTGGCATGATCTTGGCTCACTGCAACCTCTGCCTCCTGGATTCAAGCGATTCTCCTGCCTCAGCCTCCCACATTGCTGGGATTACTGGCACATGCCACCATGCCTGGCTAATTTTTCTATTTTTAGTAGAGATGGGGTTTCACCGTGTTGCCCAGGCTGGTCTCAAACTCCTGGGCTCAAGTGATCTGCTCGCCTTGGCCTCCCAAACTGTTGAGATTATAGGCGTGAGCAAGTGTGCCCAGCCATAATGGGTACTTTGTAATTAGACTATGAACTTTTCTTTTTTTTCAGTGGAAAAAACTTTTATTGAGACCCCACCAGCTGCAAAATCTGTTCCTGGCATTAAGCTCCTTCTTCCTTTGCAATTCGGTCTTTCTTGAGTGGTCCCATGAATGCTTTCTTCTCCTCCATGGTCTGGAAGCGGCCATAGCCAAACTTGGAGCTGCTGTCAATGAACTTAAGGTCAATCTTCTCCACAGCCCGCCGCTTGGTCTGCACCAGGAAGGACTTGTGGAAGGTAAGTACTTGCTTCTTGGTTCCCACCACACAGCCTTTCAGCATAACAAAGTCATTGGTTACTTCACCATAGTGGACAAAGCCACCCAGAGGGTTGATGCTCTTGTCAGACAGGTCATAGTCGCTGGAGGCATTGTTCTTGATCAGCTTGCCGTCCTTGGTAAGGTAGCCCTGGCCGATCTTATAGATCTTGTTGATCTCAGTGTGGTGATGGTAGCCTTTCTGCCAAGCACATGCTACAGAGAAGGCCACACGGACAGGATGTCATGCCCCAATACAGGCCACCTTGCGCAGGCCTCGGTGGGTCTTGTGGTGCAGCTTCTTGGTGTGCCAATGACTGGTGACACCTTTGTAGCCTTTGCCCTTGGTCACCCCGATGACGTCAATCATCTTGTCCTGCCCAAACACTTGGTTCATAGGTACCTGCTGCGCCAGCCTCTCACGGGCCCAGTCCAGCTTCTCGGACACGGTGCCTCCATTCACCTGGATCTCCATCAGGTGGGCCTTTTTCTGGCACAGAGGAAGCAGGTGCATCTGGGTGTGGGCAATGATGCAGATGACTTGGCAGTATTTCTTCACGCTGCTTAAGTCCTTCTCCAGCTGCTTCTTGCCATCCTAATCCTGCCATTTCTTGCAGTACTTAGTGAAGGACTTCTTCTTAGATTTATGCCAGTTCTTATAGAAATACCTTTTGCACTCATTGCTGATGTGCTCGGCAATGACAGTCTTGAAGGTCCGGAGGCCTCGAGGGGTTTCCATGTAGCCCACAACCACCACGGGTGGCATCTCCACAATGGTCACAGCCTCCACCACCTCCTTTTGTTCACCTTGGATCCTGGCCTATTGACCTCCTGCACGATATGTGTCATGCCAGCCTTGTATCCCAGGAAGGCTGTGAGGTGGACTGACTTGGAAGGGTCATCCTTGGGGAAGCTCTTCACCTTCCCACGATGCCTGCTGCTGTGCTTCCGAGGCAGGAAGCTGAGGGACCCATGTCTGGGAGCAGAGAACTTCCTGTGAGACATCATGCTGTCAAATCCACCCGTTAGAGATCTAGACTATGAACTTCTTAAGAGGAGGGACTGTTTCCTGTTTACTTCTGAAGCCACAGTGGCTAGGACTGTGCCTGGCACATAAGTGCTCTATTTGCCTAACTGAACTCCTGGTACAGGTTAACTAATTTTATCTTGGTAGCCATCTAACAAAGTACGTATTGCTGTTCCCACTTTGTATTTACAGGCACAGGAGGTCAAAGATGCTGACTTGCCCGAACTCATTCAGCTTGGTGTGGAACCCGAGGTCTGCATGATTCCACGGCTCATGTTAACTTTGTATTAACTGAATCATGTTATTTTTTCAATTTCTTGCTACTATATCAAGAAACAAGTGATTTGCCACTTCTTTAAAAAAAATTAGAACATCAGAAGAATTAAAGTGAGAAGGCTTTACTTTAGGCACATTAATATCCATAAAAACCGAAATCCATTTTTTAACAAGTTCAACACCAAAACTCAAAATGTGAAATCTCTGAGGGGAGGGAGCCTGTTGCTCGGCATGCAAAAGGCTCTCAGGCAAGCATGTGACTGAGCACCGAAGACTCCATTTGAAGTAGATGCATTTTCAGTTACACTAAGTAGCTTCCATTGAGACTTGGGTCAATGTATCAAGTAAAAAGGACACAGAGTGCTTGGTAATTTAAAAAGTTATCAAACAGTGCTTAGTAATTTAAAAAGTTATTGAACATAAGAGCCATGTTATGTATCTGAAATCTAAGCCAAATTAAATAAAATTTGAGATATCCTAGGGAATTTGCTCATAGTCTAGACATGAAAGGATATCGTGTACAATAACATATGCACGTGCTCAGGAACAACTGTTTATGTAACCCCTCACCACTCCCTCACTTGTGTAATGTTCAAGAAGAATAGACTTGGCAGGGAAAGCCTGCTGGCCCTGGGGGCTTTCCAGCTTCCTATCCTTTTGTCTAGTGGTATTTGCAAGAAGGAAGGGGTTCCATGGCATCTTACATGTTTTTCATTTTCTCTCCTTTCTCTGTCTTGAAAGCAATACCACTCAACTTTGAAGATTTCCAAGTGTTCAAAGATACTCTAACTCAAGTGTCCGGAACTATATTCGTAAATTATTTTACTCATATCTGTATCAATACTCACATTTTATATATAAAGTATGTATAACAAAATATACCATTTACCTACTAAAATTAAGATTTAATTTCCTTTTTAAAAACATACTCTGTAGATGCCAATGCAAAATTTTATTATACTCCTGTAAATCTTGTAAAACTTCCAAAGAAATATAAAAGTAAAAGTCTTCTGCCCTTATTTTTACTTTGAACAAAGTCAGTTACTCATAGAAGTGGACAGGAATGTCAATAGAGCATACTAACCAACCATTCTTCTCAACCTCTACATGGATAATTCCCAAATCTCTAGCCCCAGCCTCTCTCCTTGGATCAAGATCCACACCTTCCTCCTATGCAACTGAGTTAATGCCACCCCTATATTCTCAGGCCCAGGCTCAAAAACAGTCATCTCTAAATTATGTTGTCCCTTCCTCCCCAACATTTATTTATTTCTTTATCTAACAAGCATTTACACAGCACTTACTATGTGCCAGGCATATAGTATTTCACAAATATTAATTAATTTAATTTTCACAGCATCCTATTATTATTTCCATTACACACCTGGGAAACCAAGGCACAAAAAGACCTTAAGAAACTTAAAATGTCACACAGCAGGAAGTGGCAGAATTTGGGATTTGCTCCAGAGTCCCTGCTTCTAACCACCACTCTGAGCTGCCTCTCCAAACCACTGCTAACTTCATACAGTCTACCTCTGAAACGGTTCTTATACTTGCCCCTTCTTTTCTATTTCCAACAGTGCCAATTAGTTTGTTTAGTTTCCAATTAGTTTAAGCCATCAGTATTTCTCATCTCTACTATAAAACTCTCCCAACCGCTCTCTCCAAATTTCTTTTCTCTACCTAACCCATCCTTCCTAATGCTACCAGATTAATTAGCTTAAAGCATGGATAGAATTATGTCACTTTTCGGCTTAGCGGCCTTCAGCACGTCCGTGTTGCTTCCCGAATTATAAGTAAAGTCTTTACCTTGGCATTCAAAATTCTTCCAACAATGCTTCAATTCACCACTCACCAAGTCCTACCCATCTGTGGAGCTCTGTCTTACATGGCATTTCCCCTGTTCAGATCTGCCCCCCCTCCCCGGTCCTTGGCTCTGCTACACCACTCATCTTTCCCTATTTTGAATGATGGTTGTTTATGATCTCATCTTACTTCACTTCTATAGCATGATGTCTCTGAGGGCATGACTGTATTTTACATATCCTACTCCCAACAGTGTCTAAGAATAGAAGCTCATGCATGGTAAATCTGCAATAAAAATCTGTTAAATGGAATTGAATGTACAGGCTAGTTACAGTAATTCTCAACATAGTAAATGATAAAAATTTTTTTTTTATCATTTAAATGATAAAAGCAGTTTTTAAAAAACTGCTTGAAATAAAGTTAATTCTTAAAAATGAGAGAGTGCTAAAACATCTAAGAATCTAGAGAATGACAGGCAGAAACTTTAAAGAAAAACAGAGTGTAGAGGATGAAATCCTAACCCTTTGGACTTTAAGATGAAAAATCTGTCAAACGTGAACAGGCACAGGCACAGATAAGACTGTCAGCTAAGGGGGCATTACCTTGGCAACCGTTTGCTCAGCAATGGTGCTAGGCCGGCGCTGGCGGCCATCAAGTCTCTGCTCCACTGGGAAACTGCTCCTGTGTGATTTCAGGCGCTCCACCAACAAGAAATAAATGGCAGCAAAGTGGTTATAGCTCTTGTTCTGCAAAGACTGAAAGAAAAAAGAAGTGGTAAAGACAACTATAAAGACCAATGCAATGATCTATACATGCCTAAAAAAATAAAAGGAAAGAAACTGTGTGTTCTTAAAAATAGGGTGAAAACCAAAGTGGGCCTCAAGATGAAAGCTGCTCCAAAATTGAGACTGGAAGGCAGAAAACTTCAAGTCTCTAGAATTAATTATATAAAGGATGATCCCTTTAAGTGCGTTGACCAGCCCTTTTACATGAACAGGATCCATTTATTTTTCTGCCATCACATTGACATTCCCCAGTGTTGTCATACGGCCTCCTCTCATAGCTGTTAACGGGTAAGGTCAATTAGCAACCTGAGCCTGAGGCTCTAATTCCATAGCTTCAACACAAATCCAAACCATTACAAACTCTGAAGTGAATGGTTCAAGTATGTGGAGAACTTTCTGATGATTATTTTGGGCTGGAGAATGACATCTGGATGCTAAACTGAGAGACACTATGTCTCTGTTCTTAGGTAATTTTTTCCTCTTGTTTTTGTAGTCCCACCCTCTTAAAACCTTGAAAATAAAGTTGCTTCCCAAATGTTCACATCTCTAGCCTGCCAGCTTTCCCAGATACTGAGGGAACAGAGAAACAACTGCTCCTTTGGCTTCCAATTCCACCTGACAGTCAGCATGCGTGCTGTGCAGGGCACCAGGATGCAGGGCACTCTCAGCAAAACCCACAGGTCAGTGGAATCGGCACGCCCAGCTACTGCTCTGGATATACTTCATGGACAAGTACAGCGAAACATCACTGAGTGCACAGTGAGCAAAGCAGTCAGCGTGGTTTCACTTATGGTTACGTGGGTTGGGGGAAGGCAGCACAGTCTGGAGCCTTGGTCTTTCACAGGAAAAAAGGCGGCATTTGATATTCTTTCTTGTTAGGTTTCTTCCTCAAAAGCACCATTTGCTTTTTTACTATTGTAGCAGTATTAGAAATATGTATATCCTATAAGCATGCTAACTATTCGAGGACAGAAATGAAAGCCAAGAGGAATTTTCCAGGTTCATGACCTTTACAGTTCTATGACCCCTAATACTTCCAAATCAGGAGCCCACCTGTTTTTGCCTTCTTAGTTTCTCCAGTTCACAATCTAAATTCCCTGGCTTTTTTAAACCTGATACCTACCCTTCTTGTTTCCTGCTTGGCCCTTTGCCTATCTGCACATTTACATTCCATAGAAACTAGTTAAATATCTATGTAAAACTTCATGCTTCACCTTGGAAGAAACTTTCTACCTTGTATTTGTTAAGCTTCCATCTCTGCCTTTTCTGGGTCTTTTATAAATGCCTCCTCTTGAATATTTTGGCAGATGGGGCAAAGAAAGGAATTTAAGAAGCTGGATAAAAGCAAATATAAATAGAGTCTGATGTCATCAATAGGGAACACTGGACAGTACGCCTAGGCGTTGGGGATACATGTGCTAAAAGACCAGGATGACAGGTGTGAGCATGAAATTTCAAGTAACTAAGTGCAGCAGAACCCTGAAATACCTTTAGTCAAGTCTCTGATCACTTTACCTCAATGGTTTTCTGCTGATCTATTCCAAGGCTGTGCATCAATCGCAGAACCTGCTCATTAAACTCCCCGATGGATGGCTCATTTTCTTGCTCTTGTGGATAGAGAACAGGTCTCTGGACAGGAACTTCTATGAGCATCCATTTATGCTCCTTGATTTGAGCTATGGTTAGCCGTTTGGATGGATCTAGGACCAACATCCTTCGAATAAGGTGCTCGCAATCTACAGAAAACATAATGTTACAAAAGTCACATAAATCACCTTGCACTTCAGGGTTATCTACTTGACTCATGGGACTTTGTACAAGGTTGTTAATCTTTTATTTTCTACTGGAAAATGGAAGGTCAAATGAATAAATGAATACACACAGACTACTTATATTTGTCAAGTTCACATGGTGAACAAATACTTAAGAAAAAGAAGAGGGTGTAGTCTATCAGATTCTGGCCTAAATGAAACTTTGTACTGAATTTCGCAACTGAAAATATCTAGAAACAGAATTTGATTTCCACTAAAGCAATGAAATAAGCCTCATTCCTAGAACAAGCAAATAATAAATTGATCCTTGGTCATACCTAATGCTGATATACTAAGGCTATGTAGGAGAGGCAAAGAGCTCTCCAATGGGCTGCAGCTCTTCTCCACATCCCTGCAGCTGAGAAAAGTGTATGTAAAATATTATTACTTTGGATTATACCAAGAAAACTACACTGCTGCAACTTTGAGCACTAGCATATTCTCTGAGTTGACATGATTCTCTTCACTCACACATAAGCTAACCTCCTGTTACTATAAGCCAGGCGCTATACTAGTGCTTTACATAGATTATTTTTATTAATTATTATTATTTTTAGAGACAGGGTCTCATTCTGTTGCCCAGGCTGGAATGCAGTGATGCAATCACAGCTCATTGCAAACAATCCTCCTGCCTCAGCTTCCTGAGTAGCTAGGACTACAGGTGCACGCCACCACACCTGGCTAATTGAAAAAAAAAAAAATTTTTTTTTTTTTGGTAGAGACAGGGTCTTGCAATATTGTCCAGGCTGGCGTTAAGAGATACTCCTGCCTTGGCTTCCCAAACCACTAGAATTATAGGTATAAATCACCTCACCTGGCTGACAGATTAATTAAACCTTATAATATCCCTAGGATGGGAGCTATTGTTATTTCCATTTTATAGATGGGGAAATTGAAGCACAGGGAGGAGATAAAACTTGTGAAACTCATATGGCCAGTAACTGGTGGATTCAGGATGAAAACCAGGCAGTCTGGTAGTCTGGCTTCACATCTATGCTCTTAACTATAAAGAATATTATTTCTATTGTTAGTAGAAAGAAGAGTTAAGACTGATAACCAAAAACGAAACTAAGGGGTAAACTTAACTGCTGTCTAGGTAACATCTCAATACATGACAGGCAGGGATTATGGCACAACATTTGAATTTAGCAGAGTTTTGCCAGTTGGCTTTTTATTTAATTAAAAAAATTTTAATTTTATAAAATCCATTTCATATTGGAGTAAAATGGTTGTGAATCTTTATCTACAAAGGGCTTTGTTAAATCTAAAATAAACCTGGGACATTTATAGACCCAGAATGAATGAGAAGACATGCTGCTCTTAATCTGGGAAATGTTCTGTGTTCAGTTGCAAGTAAAGGCTGGAACTTGTCTCACCTACATAAAGGAGGTGGCTTATTTCTATTGCTTTTAAAATGACTCAGTCACTTTATTTGGCACCCAAACTCTTTGAAAAAAATGAAACTTTTACCTAGGCATTTCACTTGGAGCACAAACACCATTAGTAAGATGAACAATTTGTTACCTTCTGACATGAAATATGGAATCCGAAATCTTCCTTCCAGAACCCTCTGCCTCAAAATCGGAAGCGTTGGTCCATCAAAGGGCAGAGCTCCACAGACAAGGACGTAAAGAACAACTCCCATACTCTAGGGAAGAAAACAATGCAGAGACTTTTCTACCAAGAAGGTCCAACTCTGTTTTCCTGAACATCCTCAGGGCTCTTGAAATCATATGGACTCAAAAATTCCTGTCTGAATTTATTATTTTTTCAGAATTTGAAAAAAATCCAAAACACTGACTACTACAATAAGTATCTTATAGTAAATACCAAAGAAGTTGAATCTGATCATTTTGATTACTACTTAACTTTAAATTACTGCTGATATTAGGATGATAACACCAATCCTTTGAAATTCTTTCCTAGGGATCCATTTCAAGATGTTCTGACTAATTATAGTCCAGAGGATGGGGAAAATATGAAATACTGCTTATGTGTTAAGTACCAGGAGCTTCTAAGATGGGCCAAAGCACCAAGTATTATCATTATAGATGCATTTAACAACACAGCAAAGCAAAGCAGTACCCAAATGTCCAGCTGTGGTCCTTCATACTGCTGCCCTTCAAAGACTTCTGGGGCTGCATAAGGGGGGCTGCCACACCATGTTGCCAGCAGTTCACCAGTTTTAAAGAAATTTCCAAAACCGAAATCTATTGGAATGGAAATAAATGTTACTTTCATCTATGCTCTCAAACTATACTGCATTTCTCTGTAATAAATTTTATAATATGCTATATTAACAATATCACTACTATTTACTGTGAGGACTGGGATGGCATCTATGTTGTGATGTTTCCCTAGCATTAGCACAATGACTAGCAAATAGTAAGTCCTCAATAAATGTTGCTGAATAAATGTGTAAATGAATCAAGTTTTCTTCCCAAAGAGAGTAAGACTTTATATCATGAGTGTTAAGGCCGAAAGAAAATCAGCCTTAAAGTGGACCACCAACTAGAATTCAATAATCTTAGAACTTCAATTACCCAATGACTGCTAAAGAGCTCTTTATCTTAAATGGTCTATAAGGAAAGAAACAAATGAGTAAAACTCTAAGATATTCACTTAAACACAACCAAGTGACTGGCTGCCATTACCCCAGATATATTACCCTTTAAGGCAACTGAGTGTAGTGTTTCGCAAGTAACTACCTTGCAAGTAACCACCTTCTAAGTGTCAGTCCACATATCCTATTTTAGGCAGATACCCATCTGAACAGCTCATTAACATATGATAGCTATATAGCCCAGCCACAAGCCACTTATCACCATTACTTATTTACTAATTTATAAATTGCAGTGGCTATAGTTTAAAACAGTTAATGGCCTTCTCCTTATAATCTTAGCTATACTGAATCTACAGTTTTGATACACAGAATGCACTCTGGAAACACTACTCAGAGGCCTTCAATATGCATTTAAAAACTTAGTAAGTATTGTTGTAAATACAAGTTTATACCCTTTTGCTAAGCCTTTATAGTCTCATGTTCTTACCAAAGAAACAAATTCCTATTATTTTGTTAAGTTATACTCATGCTGTCTTATATTGCTACATACTCCTGACTGAAGAATACTGTCTCAGTGACAGGAACTGGCTCTCCACCCAACCGGAGCGCAGCATTGCATGCATAGTGGGCTTTAAGAGATGCCTCAAGAAAGACTGATCAAATCTCCACTGCCAGAGAGACTGACTGGCTTTGTGACTTTGGATCAGTCTTTGTGAGCCTTAGTTTTCCCATCTGTAAAGTGATAAATATACCTAGTCAGCAGGTGCTGTAAGGGCCCAATGTGTTAAAATAAGCTCACTCCATTACCTTGAGACCATGCATAGCGTACTCCTTAGGAAAAGCATTCTCTTAGCTCGCTAACATAAAAACTAGTGGCAAGCAGTGGTAACAGTAATAACAGTAACAATCCGCATCATCACAGCTCCATGGAAGAGTACAACCTATTGAGTCATGAGAACTAGAGCTGATTTCCAGTTTTGTCACTTTCAAGCTTCAAGTCCTCTAGGAAAGTTATTTTTCCATATCTATAAATATAGGGATAATCCACCTACCCAGATAGGATGCTGTGAGGATTAAGTGAGATTAAGAATGTAAAATGTCAGAGCATAGTAGACGTGAAAGGTCAGCTCTCCTCCTCCTGTGAAATCATACCACTAACTGTTGCCTTTCAGAGAAAAAGGTCCCAAGAAAGTAGATAGGAGGGCTAGGAAAAGTTTAGAGGGAGCTTAATGGTTTAGGAGAGAAAAGAGGGTACATCTGGAGAAAGGGCTTCAGACACAGTCTAAACTGGTGAATAACACTGTGGTCTGCCTTTGGTATCCAGAAATGTGAGGCAAAGGGGTGCCAGGGAGTTCTTTCTTTTACAATGTAACCTCAGCTCAGCTCCACAGTTCACTTTCCAAAATGTCTGTCAGAAAGGACTTATCTTCACAATACCACCTCTATGACTCACCACTCTCCTAACACACCATATCCCACATGGACACATACAGATATATATTTCTAATTTTCTAGAAAAACCATACTCTCAAATGAGTCAAGGACTAGATGTTCCCATGAGTCAAAAACTAGATGTTCTCATGAGTCAAGGACTAGATGTCAAATGAGTCAAGGACTATGTTCAAATGTTAATTTCACCCACAGGATAAAGCAGCACAAGAAGCTCTGGGATGCGTGTTCAGAAAGCCTGAAATACATACAATAATTGCTGCACTTTAAACTATAATCACAGGATGAGTTTTAGTGCCTCCAAATAGCATTGGTAAGATTTTTTTTTTTTTTTTTTTAGACAGGGTCTTGCTCTGTTGTCCAGGCTGGAGTGCAGTGGCATGATCTCAGCTCACTGCAGTCCTCGCACCTCGGCCTCCCGAGTAGCAGAGGTGCGCTCCACCACACCCGGCTAATTTTTTGTAGAGATGGGGATTTGCCATATCACCCCAGGCTGGTCTCCAACTCCTGGGCTGAAGTCTTGGCCTCCCAAAGTGCTGGGATTACAGGTGTGATCCACTATACCTGGCTCATTCGTAAGTTTTTTTTTTTTTTTTTTTTGACACAGTCGTGCACTGTCGCCCTGGCTGGAGTGCAGTGGCATGATCTCGACTCACTGCAACCTCCATCTCCCAGGTTCAGGCCATTCTCCTGCCTCAGCCTCCTGAGTAGCTGGGATTACAGGCGCACACCACCATGCCTGGCTAATTTTTGTATTTTTAGTAGAGATGGGGTTTCACCATGTAGGCCAGGCTGGTCTCAAACTCCTGACCTTGTGATCTGCCCACCTCGGCCTCACAAAGTGCCGGGATTATAGGTGTGAGCCACCGCACCTGGCCTCACTGGTAGTTTCAATGTCTCCAGGAGCCCTTGTAAAGCCACTTCATTCTGAACTTCCCATACCAGGTGAAATAAACTCAAAGGAGTGAATGGGACAGAGGCCTGTCAGAAAGGCAGCCTGGCCTCTTTGTTGCCTTAGGCTCTCATGGTACATCTTCATAGGCAAGAGAAAAAGGGCCAGGAATGCTTCTCTGGACCTGTGGTAGCCAGTTTCAACTTCTGCTTTACAAATCTGGCACAAAGAAAGCTTCCTGTTCACTTACGAGAGGAGTGGTACTAAGTAGCTATTTCTATTTTCTATAGGTAATATGAATCTAAAACTTGGGTCTAAAGGAATATTAAAAGAAACACTGAAAGGCAAGGTCACTAAGCTGTTATAATATTACATGTGCTGAGGTCTTCTATAACCTTGTCAAAGCACTTTAAATGTTATATTTATAACTTCTTTTGAGACTAGTCTTGCTCTGTTGCCCAGGCCGAAGGGCAGTGGTATGAAACGCAGCTTACTGCAGGCTTAATCTCCCAGGCTCAAGTGATCTTTTTGCCTCAGCCTTCCAGGTAGCTAGGACCATAGACTCATACCACCATGCCTGGCTAATTAAAAAAAAATTTTTTTTTGGTAGAGACAAGGTCTCACTATGTTGTATAGGCTAGTCTTGAACTCCTCAGCTCAAGTGATCCTCCTGCCTTAGTCTCCCACAGTGCTGAGACGACAGGTGTGAGCCACTGCTCCCTGCCAAACACTGCATTTGTAATCACCTGAAGAATGGGTCAAGGAAGACTTTCGTGTCAGGCAGATTTGGGATCAAATTCTGGGTTTTCTATTAGCTGTGCAATCTTGGATAAATTACTTCTTGGAGCCTTGGTTTCCTCATTTGAAAAATAGGGACAATACTTACATTTCATAAAGTTGTTGTATTAATATAAATAGATATTACATTGTGATTGAAACATAGTAGGTAGTCAATAAACAGAAGCTATCATTGCTATTATTATTTATTATTTTATTCATCTGCCTATCCCATCAGACTAAGTTCCTCGGGAACAGAGAATGGGGGACAACGGTCTGTATTCCCAGCCCTCAGTATACCGTCTGCAGACAACAGCTGCTTGATAAAAGTTTGCTATATGAATATATTGTACCTCTTTTAAAAGTGCTTTACTATGTAACGGGAGCTGATTTAAGCTCTCTGAAGATAATTTCTTCTTAGTAGTTCTATGAAGTATCCTTATTTTAGGAGAAAGTGGGGGTACGAAGTTAAGTACTTTGCCAGAGGTTATATAGCTATCTACTAATTTGCAGCACTGGAATAGAAACCAAGTTTAACTACTTTGAGCCTTCATTGTTAACCACCTTTATGTCTTTCACTGGCACATCAAAAACAGTTATCTTTGAACAAGTTAATAATTGTCAGAATTAAGAAGTGGCAGGAAAAGACACTTAATTTTAATTTCTTCACAGGAATATAGATAACTTGCTTTACCAGTCTGCAGCTTTCTGCCTAAATGCATATAGTGAAATGCAGGGTGGGGGGGGAAGGGAGGATGAAATATAAAAATGCAGGATTTCTTACTGCCATTTATTCAAATGAAATGGACTATATTCATGTTTCATCATACTAACCAAATTCATTCATTCCTTTATTAAACATCTGCATTCCATACACATCAACCACTCTGCAAACACAGAAGTCTTGCAACACCACAAAATAATAAGACTTTATCCACATCAGCATCTGATTTTTGGAAAGCATTATGAAAACAATCACTTGAGCATTGGTCTCTCTCCCTGCCAGGCTCACATCCAGCCTAGCCCTGCTAGAAAGCAAACATCTTTCTAGTTTAATGTCTTCTCTAATTCTCTGATCTGCAAGTTAATACCTAAAACTATGGCTATGTTCTTCAGACATTTTGCTTGCTATTATAAGCAAAACATTTATGCCATGCAATGTTGGCTTCATTTTGACTTTTTTTAACTTTCAATTTTGAAATACTTTTAGATTTACAGAAGAGTTGCAACAGTAAATTCAGAATTCCCTATACCCTTCACCCAGCTTCCTCTAATGTTAACATTTTGCATACCTATAGTATGACTATCAAAACTACGGTTCAATAATCAAAACATCGATTCAATACTGTTAATTAAACCACAGACTTCACATTTCATCACTTTTGTCCCCAGTGTTGCTTTTCGGTTCAGGGATTCCACATTGCATTGAGCGTCATGATTCCTTAGTATTTGTATTCATATTCTCTCACCTGGGTTCTATATGGCCTGAAATATTTATAGAAGATAGCATTTGGGGTAGTCTTTAATTA